TATGACCTTTAGAACGACTTTAACCATTCACATTAGAAAGTCAGAGTGAGTTCAGAAATACCGATCTGCCTACACCAGGCCAGTGCCTCAGAAAGTACGGCAGCCATGGAATCCGCATGACAGCCAAGCAACTGGCATTTTCAGAAGCCGGGGCCACCAGTGGCAGCCTATGTATTCTCTTCCTCCCAGGAATGTCAGAATGAAGGAATGTTCCGGCTCCTCGGAGCCCCATTCCTTCCATCCTCAGTGGCAGTTGATGGAGTGTAATGTGAGGAGGATGTACATGGCGATGATATACGGGATCCGCTCTGCGCTCCTCCTGCAGACGCCTTCGTTATTTCTCACTTTGATCCGCTCTTCTGCTCCCTCCTGCAGACGCCTTCGTTATTTCTCACTTTGATCCGCTCTGCGCTCCTCCTGCAGACGCCGCCTTCGTTATTTCTCACTTTGATCCGCTCTGCGCTCCTCCTGCAGACGCCTTCGTTATTTCTCACTTTGATCCGCTCTGCGCTCCTCCTGCAGACGCCTTCGTTATTTCTCACTTTGATCCGCTCTGCGCTCCTCCTGCAGACGCCTTCGTTATTTCTCACTTTGATCCGCTCTGCGCTCCTCCTGCAGACGCCTTCGTTATTTCTCACTTTGATCCGCTCTGCGCTCCTCCTGCAGACGCCTTCGTTATTTCTCACTTTGATCCGCTCTGCGCTCCTCCTGCAGACGCCTTCGTTATTTCTCACTTTGATCCGCTCTGCGCTCCTCCTGCAGACGCCTTCGTTATTTCTCACTTTGATCCGCTCTGCGCTCCTCCTGCAGACGCCTTCGTTATTTCTCACTTTGATCCGCTCTGCGCTCCTCCTGCAGACGCCTTCGTTATTTCTCACTTTGATCCGCTCTGCGCTCCTCCTGCAGACGCCTTCGTTATTTCTCACTTTGATTTTATGCAGAAGAAGAATCGTCCCGCGAAGCAGATTTCTGATAAAACACAGAAACGTGTGACATGAATGACAGCGAACGACATTTAGCCACTGAATACACGGAGAACATGAAACAAATTGGCTGCTCGCTGAACGCATTTCTTAAAACGTAACAGACCATAAAATACGCTGAGCAGCGACTTTATCTGCCGAACGCCAAAACAGGAAAACATTTCCTAGATCTGGATGGCGGAGTCATTGGAATGTGTGCCCAGGAATGGAGTATACCCATAGATCCCGGTATGTGCTCCCCTCCCCCCACGGTGATCCCGGTATGTGCTCCCCTCCATGGTGATCCCGGTATGTGCTCCCCCCGCCCCCCGTGATCCCGGTATGTGCTCCCCTCCCCCACGGTGATCCCGGTATGTGCTCCCCTCCATGGTGGTCCTGGTATGTGCTCCCCCCGCGGTGATCCCGGTATGTGCTCCCCCCGCGGTGATCCCGGTATGTGCTCCCCTCCATGGTGGTCCCGGTATGTGCTCCCCTCCATGGTGATCCCGGTATGTGCTCCCCTCCATGGTGGTCCCGGTATGTGCTCCCCCGCGGTGATCCCGGTATGTGCTCCACTCCAGCGGTGATCCCGGTATGTGCTCCCCTCCATGGTGATCCCGGTATGTGCTCCCCTCCATGGTGATCCCGGTATGTGCTCCCCTCCATGGTGATCCCGGTATGTGCTCCCCTCCATGGTGGTCCCGGTATGTGCTCCCCTCCATGGTGGTCCCGGTATGTGCTCCCCTCCATGGTGGTCCCGGTATGTGCTCCCCTCCCATGGTGATCCCGGTATGTGCTCCCCCCACGGTGATCCCGGTATGTGCTCCCCCCACGGTGATCCCGGTATGTGCTCCCCTCCCGCGGTGATCCCGGTATGTGCTCCCCCCGCGGTGACCCCGGTATGTGCTCCCCTCCGTGGTGGTCCCGGTATGTGTGCTCCCCCCGCGGTGATCCCGGTATGTGCTCCACTCCAGCGGTGATCCCGGTATGTGCTCCCCTCCATGGTGGTCCCAGTATGTGCTCCACTCCAGCGGTGATCCCGGTATGTGCTCCCCCCGCGGTGATCCCGGTATGTGCTCCCCTCCCATGGTGATCCCGGTATGTGCTCCCCTCCATTGTGATCTCGGTATGTGCTCTCCCCCCACGGTGATCCCGGTATGTGCTCCCCCCGCGGTGATCCCGGTATGTGCTCCCCTCCCCATGGTGATCCCGGTATGTGCTCCCCTCCATGGTGATCCCGGTATGTGCTCCCCCCATGGTGATCCCGGTATGTGCTCCCCTCCATGGTGGTCCCGGTATGTGCTCCCCTCCAGCGGTGATCCCGGTATGTGCTCCCCTCCCGCGGTGATCCCGGTATGTGCTCCCCCCGCGGTGATCCCGGTATGTGCTCCCCTCCCATACAGATCCCGGTATGTGCTCCCCTCCCGCGGTGATCCCGGTGTGCGCTCCACTCCAGCGGTGATCCCGGTATGTGCTCCCCTCCCATGGTGATCCCGGTATGTGCTCCCCTCCCATGGTGATCCCGGTATGTGCTCCCCTTCATGGTGATCCCGGTATGTGCTCCCATCCATGGTGATCCCGGTATGTGCTCCCCCCCGCGGTGATCCCGGTATGTGCTCCCCCCGCGGTGATCTCGGTATGTGCTCCCCCTGCGGTGATCCCGGTATGTGCTCCCCTCCCATGGTGATCCCGGTATGTGCTCCCCTCCAACGGTGATCTTGGTATGTTCTCCCCTCCAACGGTGATCCCGGTATGTGCTCCCCTCCAACGTCTATCCCGGTATGTGCTCCCCTCCAACAGTGATCCCGGTATGTGCTCCACTCCATGGTGATCCCGGTATGTGCTCTCCTCCAACGGTGATCCCGATATGTGCTCCCTCTCGCTATGTGCTCCCCTCCCATGGTGATCCCGGTATGTGCTCCCCTCCCATGGTGATCCCGGTATGTGCTCCCCTCCCACACAGATCCCGGTATGTGCTCTCCTCCCACGGTGATCCCGGTATGTGCTCCCCTCCCACGGTGATCCCGGTATGTGCTCCCCTCCACGGTGATCCCGGTATGTGCTCCCCTCCACAGTGATCCCGGTATGTGCTCCCCTCCACGGTGATCCCGGTATGTGCTCCCCCCACGGTGATCCCGGTATGTGCTCCCTCCCCCCACGGTGATCCCGGTATGTGCTCCCCTCCACGGTGATCCCGGTATGTGCTCCCCCCACGGTGATCCCGGTATGTGCTCCCCCCACGGTGATCCCGGTATGTGCTCCCCTCCACGGTGATCCCGGTATGTGCTCCCCTCCACGGTGATCCCGGTATGTGCTCCCCTCCACGGTGATCCCGGTATGTGCTCTCCTCCACGGTGATCCCGGTATGTGCTCCCCCCACGGTGATCCCGGTATGTGCTCCCTCCACGGTGATCCCGGTATGTGCTCCCCTCCACGGTGATCCCGGTATGTGCTCCCTCCATGGTGATCCCGGTATGTGCTGGGATGCTGCAATCAAATATGAAGAAGACTATCTCATATTGACTTACTAGACCACTTTAAATGCATAAATATTGTCTCATGATAACATCGAGGATCTATTGCATCAGACCTTCATGTGGGGGTCACAGTAGAGTACCCTAAACTCCTGATAACATGGAACATACAATCTTTTGTGAACATATATACTCAATGAACATCAAGTTTACATGGGAAGAATGAACCTTTTTCTGTGTGTTACACATCAAGATGCGGGGGTGACCTGGACATTGAGGTCTACATGAAACCCACCCACACAGACCAGCATCTTCCCTTTGACTACACCACCATCTGGAACACAAACTGGGATTCTTAGAATGCTACAACAGAGGGCTGAAATGATAACAAGCAGAGTCTAAAGGCAAATACACCGACATCTCAGGAGTGCTTCAAATGGTAAACTCAGTGGTTTTCCTACTCCATAAGAAAAGATGACCTTGTTTTTTGAGGACAGTGAGGTGCAAAGTTTGGACAACTGGTTCACAGGAGGCATCAAGGAAGCCATCTACGTCATAATGGAACAACTATCATTGACCAGGAATGAGGGCCATAACTGTCACACCTCCCATCCTGTTCTTGGGCAATCAACAACTACACATTCCACAGTGGTTGGATGAAGGTGTTGGCGCTACCTGTGTGGATGTAAATGTTGGAGTATCTTCCTGGCGCTCATTTGAGCTGAAGAAGTGTGTGGAGAAGGTACAAAACATTGTCACCAATACAGAACAAGTGCAGATGAATGTGACCAACTACTAGCAGATATTCCATGGCCTGGATCAAGGAGAACCTTCGCAGACCCTCTGAGAACCTTCTGAGAACAGACAATCCGACAAGACCTTCTTCTGTGCAGCATCAAGTGGAAGGACATTAGGGATACGACTTCCATGTGGGAGGAAAACACATCTAGAAAGAGAAATAAATAAAATAATGCAGAGTTGTATACATGGGAAGCACCAGCGCCAACCTCCAACATAGGGTGGTGATCGTGTCCCTCGGATTATGATGTGGATAAGAATATTATTACAATATTACATCAATAAATGTTTTTTGAGTTTCTACTAATACCATATGTTCTGATCTCATCACCCCGCAGGCTGAAAGATCTTTTTTTTTTTGGATTGTGTTCCATCTTTTCCTAACTCATTCCTGGCTCCCCTTGCTCTTGCTGCCATACAATCACGCTCCAAACGTTTTCTATCCCTCTCGACTCTTTCCGTTCCTTCCTCTCTTTTAGCCGTGTCTGTGATGGTTTTGTCCATCCCTATGGCTTCACTTTGCCTTTCTGATACTTTTGGGGTCTATTTATTAATGTCCTCCAGAACAACAGACTCAGACAGGTGCTGGGAATGGTCAAACATTGCACATAAATGTATTATTATTATTATATAATATTATTATGACTGTCTACTTTGCAAAAAGGGGTCATTTGGGGGATATCTGTACCGTCCTGACATTTGGGGGATATCTGTACCGTCCTGACATTTGGGGGATATCTGTCCTGTCCTGACATTTGGGGGACATCTGTCCTGACATTTGGGGGACATCTGTCCTGTCCTGACATTTGGGGGATATCTGTCCCTGACATTTGGGGGACATCTGTCCTGTCCTGACATTTGGGGGATATCTGTACCGTCCTGACATTTGGGGGATATCTGTACCGTTCTGACATTTGGGGATATCTGTACCGTCCTGACATTTGGGGGATATCTGTCCTGTCCTGACATTTGGGGGACATCTGTACCGTCCTGACATTTGGGGGATATCTGTCCTGTCCTGACATTTGGGGGACATCTGTACCGTTCTGACATTTGGGGGATATCTGTCCTGGCCTGACATTTGGGGGAAAATCTGTCCTGTCCTGACATTTGGGGGATATCTGTACTGTTCTGACATTTGGGGGGTATCTGTACCGTTCCTGACATTTGGGGGATCTGTACTGTCCTGACATTTGGGGGATATCTGTCCTGTCCTTTTTTTGGGGGGGATATCTGTACTGTCCTGACATTTGGGGGATATCTGTACTGTTCTGACATTTGGGGGATATCTGTACCGTTCTGAAATTTGGGGAAAATCTGTACCGTTCTGAAATTTGGGGGATATCTGTCCTGTCCTGACATTTGGGGGACATCTGTACCGTTCTGACATTTGGGGGATATCTGTCCTGGCCTGACATTTGGGGGATATCTGTCCTGTCCTGACATTTGGGGGATATCTGTACTGTTCTGACATTTGGGGGGTATCTGTACCGTTCTGACATTTGGGGGGTATCTGTACCGTTCTGACATTTGGGGGGATCTGTACTGTTCTGACATTTGGGGGATACCTGTACTGTCTTGACATTTGGGGAATATCTGTCCTGTCCTTTTTGGGGGGGATATCTGTACTGTCCTGACATTTGGGGGGATATCTGTACTGTCCTGACATTTGGGGGATATCTGTACTGTCTGACATTTGGGGGGATATCTGTACTGTCCTGACATTTGGGGGATATCTGTACCGTTCTGAAATTTGGGGAAAATATCTGTACCGTCCTGACATTTGGGGGATATCTGTCCTCACCTGACATTTGGGGGACATCTGTCCTGTCCTGACATTTGGGGGATATCTGTCCTGTCCTGACATTTGGGGGATATCTGTCCTGTCCTGACATTTGGGGGATATCTGTACTGTTCTGACATTTGGGGGGTATCTGTACCATTCTGACATTTGGGGGATATCTGTCCTGTCCTTTTTTTTGGGGGGATATCTGTACTGTCCTGACATTTGGGGGATATCTGTACTGTCCTGATATTTGGGGGATATCTGTACTGTCCTGATATTTGGGGGATATCTGTACTGTTCTGACATTTGGGGGATATCTGTACTATTGACATTTGGGGGATATCTGTACTGTTCTGACATTTGGGGGGATATCTGTCCTGTCCTGACATTTGGGGGATATCTGTCCTCTCCTGACATTTGGGGGATATCTGTACCGTTCTGACATTTGGGGGATATCTATACCGTTCTGACATTTGGGGGATATCTATACTCTGTTCTGACATTTGGGGGATATCTGTACTGTTCTGACATTTGGGGGATATCTGTCCTGTCCTGACATTTGGGGGATATCTATACTGTTCTGAAATTTGGGGGATATCTGTCCGTCCTGACATTTGGGGGATATCTGTACCGTTCCTGACATTTGGGGGATATCTGTACCGTCCTGACATTTGGGGGATATCTGTCCTGTCCTGACATTTGGGGGATATCTGTCCTGTCCTGACATTTGGGGGGGGGATATCTGTACTGTCCTGGCATTTGGGGGATATCTGTACTGTCCTGACATTTGGGGGGATATCTGTACTGTCCTGACATTTGGGGGATATCTGTACTGTCCTGGCATTTGGGGGGATATCTGTACTGTTCTGACTTTTTTGGGCCTCCAGAAATTAGATTGGCCGTCAGTACTTCAGGATTGATCAATTTTCAGATATATCCCATAGTTTGTATAACTTTCCTACAGACTAAATAATAAATACTAATTTGGGTTATTTTCACCAAAGACATGTAGCAGAATACATCTCGGCCTAAATCTATGAAGAACAATTATTTATTTGCAAACTTTTATAACAGAAACAAAGAAAAACGTGTTTTTTTTTCAAAAATGTTTTTTGTTAATTCTAGCAAAAATTGAAAAACCCCGGTAGTGAATAAATACCACCAATAGAAAGCTCTAGTTGTTGGAACTAAATGATAAAAATGTAGTTTGGGTACAGTGTTGCATGACCGCGCAATTGTCATTCAAAGTGTGAGAGCGCTGAAACCTGAAAATTGGCCTGGACAGGAAGGGGGTGAAATTGGCCTGGACTGGAAGGGGGGGAAAGTGTCCGGACCGGAAGGGGGGGAAAGTGTCCGGACCGGAAGGGGGGGAAGTGTCCGGACGGAAGGTGGGGGGAAAGTGTCCAGACCGGAAGGGGGGGAAAGTGTCCGGACCGGAAGGGGGGGAAAATGTCCGGACCGGAAGGGGGGGGAAAGTGTCCGGACCGGAAGGGAGTGAAAGTGTCCGGACCGGAAGGTGGGGGGAAAGTGTCCAGACCGGAAGGTGGGGGGAAAGTGTCCGGACCGGAAGGTGGGGGAAAGTGTCCGGACCGGAAGGTGGGGTGAAAGTGTCCGGACCGGAAGGTGGGGTGAAAGTGTCCGGACCGGAAGGTGGGGGTGAAAGTGTCCGGACCGGAAGGGGGGGAAAGTGTCCGGACAGGAAGGGGGAAAGTGTCCGGACAGGAAGGGGGGGAAAGTGGGGGAAGGGGGGGAAAGTGTCCAGGAAGGGGGGGAGGGTCCGAACTGGAAGGGGGGGGAGTGTCCGGACAGGAAGGGGGGGGGGTCCGGACTGGAAAGGGGGGGAAGTGTCCGGACAGGAAGGGGGGGAAAATGTCCCGGACCGGAAGGGGGGAAAAGTGTCCGGACCGGAAGGGGGGAAAGTGTCCGGACCGGAAGGGGGGGAAAGTGTCCGGACAGGAAGGGGGGGAAAGTGTCTGGACAGGAAGGGGGGAAAGTGTCCGGACCGGAAGGGGGGGTGTCTGGACAGGAAGGGGGGGAAAGTGTCCGGACAGGAAGGGGGGGAAAGGGTCCTGACAGGAAGGGGGTGAAAGGGTCCGAACTGGAAGGGGGGGGGAGTGTCCGGACAGGAAGGGGGGGAAAGTGTCCGGACTGGAAGGGGGGGAAGTGTCCAGACAGGAAGGGGGGGAAAATGTCCGGACCGGAAGGGGGGAAAAGTGTCCGGACCGGAAGGGGGGGAAAAGTGTCCGGACCGGAAGGGGGTGAAAGTGTCCGGACCGGAAGGGGGGTGAAAGTGTCCGGACTGGAAGGGGGGGGAAAGTGTCCGGACCGGAAGGGGGTGAAAGTGTCCGGACTGGGAAGGGGGGGGAAAGTGTCCGGACTGGAAGGGGGGGAAAGTATTGAAGGGGTGAAACAGGAGACCACACTATACTTAACTAGGCCATGTACATCCCAGCAACCAGCCTAGGAGGGTGCCACACGTAGTAATTAAAATGATGTTAATATGGATAAAAACATGAAATGTATTATTTTGTATCATATTATTATTTTTATATATTTTTATATGTTATAATTACAATCTCTGTAAAATTGCAAAGAACGCCGAGGTGTTGAGTCTGGTTCCATATATATATATATATTTCTCAGTGATCATTATAGAATCCTATAGCTGATGATGACATTCATCCTGTAATGATGGAACACGATCCGGCATATATGGAAATATATTTAATCAGAAAGTGATAACCGGCCGGCCTCAGCCTCTCCTGATTGCTGGAATAATGCGGTAATGATTGGCGGTGATCAGGAGAAGAGCTCACACAAGAGAATAATTAGCTTTTGGCTAAAACGAGAACTCCTCTGGAAGACGGGCTTTGTCCTTTTTTCTATTTCAGATTCGGTTGGTTGGAGGAAGGTCAAGTGAAGAGGGGAAGGTGGAAGTACAGATGGTCATTAAAGGAGTGAAGAAGTGGGGAGCGATGTGCGGAGAGCTCTGGGGCATGAATGAAGCCATGGTCGCTTGCCGACAGTTGGGGCTCGGCTTTGCCAATCATGCTATACAGGTATGACAGCGTATCTAAACCCAAAATTAAAAATGTCCCATCATGCAGATTACTAGATCTTGGTGTGGTGTCTCCATCCGTTGGCTGTGTTTTTACCTGATAATCCTGCCAATAACACACTTCCTATTCCTGGGTGGCTACATCACTCCTCCACTGTATCCATAGAGGGAGCAATGGTTGTCACCCCACACTGCAGCCATGGTTGTCATCCCAACAGGGGCGGACTGACCATTTGGGAACTCGGGCACTGCCTGAGGACCCGGGGTCAGTAGGGGGCCCCATGAGATGCCCCTGGTACCTTTTCATGGCTTTTTTTGGGTGTGGTTTGAGTGTGAGCAAGAACACAGGGGCCCCATGATCCCCTGTTGCCCGGGGGCCCCATGAGTTGTCTGTCCACCCCTGCACCCCACACTGTTCTCCTGGAATGGACTACAAACATGTCCATATCTCTTCATCTCCATTACAGGGGGAAGGCGAAGGGGGGAAAGCAATTGGTAGTTTACATAGCTAGGAAGGAAGATATTCTTCAGTGCAGCTCACAGGCCTTGTATTTCTGGCAGGATCAAAGGGTATTTGCTGAAAATGATGTTTGCTTGAAGGAAAGAAATCTAATGCAGCCACCACATCTAAGGAGTGTAAGCTGCAATTTTTGACATTTTTGCTCTTGCTTTAGCTGTCCTTTAAGTTGGTGATTGTCACGATAACAATCGGTTGTGCTGTATAGGTCGCCTTATATAATATATATAATATGTAAGTATTATCGCCAGGCCTGGACTTGTAGAGATGCTTCATAGACTGGCTCCTTGGGCTGCATAGTATAATGGAAGTCAGACCGTCCTCTCCTTCATTATATTTTGAGGCTTAACTCTGAGCTCCCCCTTCACTTCCTCCCCCTCTTTATTTTTTATACTGACCCTTGTCGTCAGGTTGGTCATGTGACTGGGGGGGCCTAAAAGGTTCTTGTTCACCTCATCTCCAGTGGTGGTTGATCTTCATTGATGTGGAGAGCACGTAAGAAAGGCCAGAAGTTTGGTACCCAATGTGGAGTAAATGCACATGGAGACAGTACAATATATTAACCCAACAAGGTCTGAATATCATGGCTGAACCCAGTACAGCAGAACCTTACAGAAGGACTTGTACCACACAGTCTCAATACTGAAGAAGACACGGTAGCAGGTTTGGGATAGCCAGAAGCAACTGATGAAGTAGGTGATTGGTAGGCGGTGTGGCAACAAAGGCACCCATAGAAGAAAGGAGGTCCAAGGTTTGGTGAGGAACAATGCCTTTTCCAGCATGATGGAGCACCTTGCCATAAGGCAAAAGTGATAACTAAGTGGCTTGAGGAACAAAACATTAAAATTTTGAGTCAGGTGTAAGGTCCCTGCACTGTACCTACCTCCCCCCCCCCCCCCCCCCCCCATGCTAGACATACTGTCCCTAACGAGTGGGTTCCTGTCCCTGACCTAGCCTTGAAAATGTGTGCCAGTTGCAGTGGGACAGTTCTAGTTGTTAGCACTGACCTCATTAAGGAAGGCCATGAAGGTCATCCAGCACATCAGCGTTCAATCAGAAGGCTGCTTCCCTGATGATGCCTACAGAGGCCTTAGAGCAGTGTTTCTCAGCTCCAGTCCTCATGGACCCCCAACAGGTCATGTTTTCAGGATTTCCATTATTTTGCACAGGTGATTTGATCAGTTTCACTGCCTTAGTAATTACCACAGCTGTTTCATCTGAGGGAAATCCTGAAAACATGACCTGTTGGGGGTCCATGAGGACTGGAGTTGAGAAACACTGCCTTAGAGGAACATGAATTCCTCCTCTCTGCATAGTGTCTGGAAAAACAGCGCCATCTGTGCAAGCAGGCTGAACTACACCTGCCTCCAAGCAGCTCTGACGTGATGACATCATCAGTGCTCTTATTCAGTAAACTATGGATGAAGGAGACCACGGTTATGCCTCCTTTGGAGGTAGAACCATGAAGCCCGTTGATTCATAGTATGTCCCCACCTTTCTAGGTTTCAGAGTTCCATGGTGATGCCTTCCTAGAGGGCTGGTCCAGGACTCTCTGCACTCACAGTATGT